CACCTGAGGAGAGGTCATAGTAATCTGTCCACAGCCAGGGCCCCCACAGCTCAACAGTAGACAAAGTGGAGCACGTGAGCTGGTTTCCCGAGTGCATGGTGCAGCAGGCCCTGCACTTGGTTCAACGCCTCTGCTGCTGTTACAATGTTACAGTTCCTAATAACTAGGCACAGGAGCTATGCACTGTTGTTTTGTTCTGGGACCTTACTATTATGTAGCTGGACCGCCCTGAAGATGGCAAGTGCACCAGGGCTCTGGCAGGATTGGAGGACGCTTTGGAATGAGGGAGGAAGAGGAGCTCAGAGGTTTATTCAGGTGGCAACTGCCAAGGTACCGAACAACCTGCTTCTACCTAGACAATCCCAGGACAACAGGTAAAGGAGACAGGGAGCCAGGCCGGGCTCAGTAAATCTTAATAGTGGACACTGTGTCAGCTGCCATTCATGTATAAGCCCATGTATACCTTGGCTCTAGCCTGTGAGCATATACCTTAAGCCAGAGGAAATAATAAGACTTAGAATCACCTAAACAATAGTGGCACTGCTTATAGGAAAGTCTCAGGGGGGCTAGACAGTGCATCACAAACTAACCCAAAGATCTTGCTAATGTCACTAATTGTGTTACTAGACCCTGTGGTCTCTGCCAACCCTGATACCAGATGGTGCTGCTTCAAAGACACAGACAAGTGGGTAACACACGGTCCATGTTCAGGGCGGATCTCGAAAGGGAGCTATGCTCTGGCAGTCTTCCCCACGTATACCAGACTCATCAGAAGGGTTGGGAACCCAGAAATGGTTTAGGGGTCTTCACTGGTATTAGGCAGACTGGAACAGGCAATAGTCACCAGCAGGGAAGGGCACAGTAGGTCCTTTGGCTCAGGCCTCAAAGCCAGTGTAAACTGCTAAGCCCAACTCCTGGAAGGAGCAGAGTCAACCCGAAGAACATCTTATGCTTGAAAAGGTTCTTTAGGCAAAGCCTAAGTTACTAGCTAATCTCCTATGACAAGAAGGCTGAGCCTGCCTATCCCAGGGCCTGGCGGCATACAGAACCCCAGTGAAGATCCTATAGAAGTCCCATAGGAAACCACACAGGAGGAATGACAGGAAAGTTGTGAAGATCGGGAGGAGGAGGACAGTGGTGACATGACAACCATGGTGGTGTATGAACTGTCTCATTTGAGTTCTGCTTTAAATGCACTATAAACAAAAGCAAGTTGATAATTAGGGAAATGGGGATATCAGCTAGGTATTTCATGCTACAAAAGACAGCCAAACTGCATGCAGTCACGCACACCTTTAATCCCAGCACTCACAGGCAGAAGCAGGTGGATCTCTGAGTTCAAGGCCAGGCTGGTCTCTATAATGAGTTCCAGGACAATCAAAGATACATAGTGAGACCCTGTCTCAAAAAAATAAATAAATAAAATAAAAAAGAAAGAAGAGAAAATAAAATAAAAAAGAAAGATTTTTGAAATCTCAGATGTGACAGCAGCATTTGGCTCAGCTTTCCAAGAGATGTACACAGAATGTTTACAAGGATAGGCTGTGATGCCCAGTGCTGTTGGGCAATGGGGACATGTATGATTCGAGCCTAGCCTAAGTCAAAGACCGTGGGTCCTGCGAAGGGTTCAGGAGGTAGGGGTGTCTACCAATAGGTAAAGAATTTTTACAGTTCTGAATTCTGGTTTCTTTGCTAGACTGAAACCAAGTCTAGTGTTGATCCACGTTATCTTCCCACTTCCGGAGCACTTTGGGGATTTGGAGATAGTCGGCAAGGCTAGTTCTACTTGGCTGTACCTCTTCATACCGCAGAGCATTCCTGTTCGCAATCCTGCTGCCCCTGCCACATCATCTGCCCCAGGATGCCCTTCCTGGACATCCTCCTTTTCATGACAGGGCTTTCTGCTTCAGCCCTGTCTCAGCTTCCCCTGCTGCGTGCTCACAAACACATGCTGACACTACTTCACAGCAGTTAGGTAGCTTTGTGGCAGCCTTTCAGACCCAAATTCTACAAGTCATCCATACATATCCTCTGTTCCTTCTCACTATGTCATCTCGTGAATCTTCTGGGGCACAAGGGCTTGTGAGGGCCTGGGTGACAGTGGTACCTAGATGCAAAGTCATACCCTCACACCTCCTGCCATCTCAAGCTGCCGCCAACTGTTCAGCCCCACCCAGCTCTTCCATCCAGCTTTTATTTTTAAAGATTTGTTTATTTTTATGTGTATGAGTGTATTGCCTACATGTCTGCGCCTGCAGAGGTCAGAAGAGGGGGTCAGAATTCTCTGGAACTGAAGTTATAGATAGTTGTGATGTGTTGTGGGTGCTAGGAACAGAACCCAGGTCCTCTGGAAAGAACAAGTACTCTTAACCATTCTTAACCACTGGACCATCTTTCCAGCTCCCAAGCCCAGACCTGGCTTCTTATACTGTGGCTCATTGGGCATGTTGGGAGGGAAGGCAATGGAGAAGGTAATGTCACAGAATCAGCACCAGTCACAGGACATTCCCAATCACACCAGCATGGCTTAGGAAGGAGCAAGGAATGAGGTGAGGCCCTGTGAGTGGCCCTGGCCTTACAACACCCAGACTTCCTTCAGAAAGATACCCTGAAATTCTAGCCTTCCAGCAAGAACTCTTGAAATTCATAGTTACTATCTAAAGCCTGCGCCTGAAATGCAAAGAATATGTTCCTAGTTATGTATCTGGTATCTGCTAAAGAGACTCTGTCTCAGCCTGGCCAGAAGTAGCCTTGGCAACATGTGATGTACTATGAATTCACTCATATTCCTGGGCGAATGATCTCATTAGCTGGGGATAGGAAGCTCTGTTCCTTCCCTTTGCCCCGTCCACCTGCCAGAGCAGCGCAGAAGCCAAGAGGCTGGCTGGGAAATGGTTTCCTTCCTTATGCACACCATCCCATCTCAGCCCCACACTGGCAGTAGTTAAGAATGTGGCCTAGGGCTGGCTGGTCCTGTCTTTAATTCCAGCACTCGGATGCAAAGACAGGTGGATCTCTAATGAATTCATGGCCAGCCTGGGTTATGTACCAAGTTCTAGGTCAGCCAGAGTCATAGTAAGACCCTGTCAAATAACTAATAGCTTAAAATAAAAAAAAGCCAGGGAAACAATGCAACTACCGGAGTCTAAATAGCAAGAGAAGAGGAAGAGGAGAAGATGGAGGCAGTCTAGGAGGAAGGTGGATGTTGATTTTCCCTAAGATATCCTTGGGTTCCAAGCTCTAGCAGTGGAAGCCTCAGCTTCCCTGAGTGAAGAATCTATGGGATAGATATGGCAGCAGTCTCCTGCTCCAAGCAGCCCTCAGCACCCACAACACTGACAGGATCTCACCCTTCATAACCTGGCTTGCTGTACAGACAGAGAATTTGGGATAACTTTTCCTCCTTAACTTCCCACCGCCCCCTCCAAAAAAAGATAAGAGAAAAGCCAAGCTACAGCGAGAGAGGGAAGGACATGAAACTAGCTTTCTAAGTGAGGGGTCACTTAAGGCCATGTGCAAGCCTAGAGCAGGTGGGTCTACAGCAGTGCCCACTGCCTCCAACCAGATGGCGAGGGAATGAGCAATAAAAGAGACTTGAATTCACTTCTCTTCACTCCAACATATACGCAACACTTGTTCTCCATAAGAAAGACAGCCTCCTAGAAGCATCTCCCAGCTGTGTGCCTGGATCCACTCACTCCACTTCCTCCTAACTTTCCCAACAGGCAAGGGGGTGACCACAGTGGCATGAACTGCCTTTCGTTTTTATGAATGAATACAAAGGAAGACACAGAGGCACTGTCTCAGGAAGAACAGGTTTTCAATCTTCCAGAGCTTAAGTAAAGCCACATTCTCTCACATTCCCACAAAGAAGGAGAAGCAGAAAAATGAGGCAGAATGCTGAAATAGTGGAGAGGAACACACACACACACACACACACACACACACACACACACACACACAAAGGTTTGGTAGCCTCTCATTACAAGTTGGTTGGGCACAATGTAAACACACTTCTGCCTTGCTTAATCACAGAGTACCGGCCCGTTTAGGTTTCAAAGGCGGCGGTAAATTGGGCGTAGCTGAGTAGAGGCTAAAAATTAACCAGCCATCTCTGTTTCAATTTGTAAGAAAACAAAAGTGGAAAGAAATTATGAAAAGAAAAAAAGAAATGGGGGTGGGGGGTAGGCAAAGCCAGAGCACTAAACTAGCCCAGGCCAGACACAGGGCAGTACTGGAAGAGCAAAGGTGACTAAGAAACACTCAGGCACAAAAGGGGAAAGGTTCTTGCAGGTTTTGTTTAAGACTTCTATAGCAAGCTGTTTCCTGGCAGGCCTGCTCCCCACAAAGCCCCTCTACTCCAGAGGGGCCTAGGGCCACTGGCACAACCACCCAGTGTTTCCATCCTGGAACAGGGAGCTCAAGGAATCTTACTGTATTCTCTCGCTACAAAACAAACACCAGCCACAGCAGCTCCTACCTCAGAATCACCCCACTGCCGGGTCTCCTCTTCCCAGGCCATTCAGTCCCATGTGCCAGATTCCACATGCCCCCCCACTCCACCCACCCAACTTTTCCTGAGATGAAGTAAAGCTGTATGAGCCTGCACATCTCCCCAACCCTTAGCACTTGTGCCTCATTTCCTATATCAGCAGTGCTTAGGGCTGATGTCCTCCTTCCTCTCAAATTCTTACCATCATGGGTAATTATGAGACATCTCGGCCCTGTCCTCAAACTGACAGCGTCTTTACTATAGTAAAGATGGAGATGCTCAAACTGGGTGTCATAGTAAGAGAAGAGAGGAGAAAGAGCAAAGGGGTAGGGCCAGAGAGACAGAGGACTGAGAAGTGAGAGGGATACCACCTGCGAAGCAGAGGCCAGCAAGACAAGCTACCAGTGAGGCCCATAAGCAATACTGTTCAGAAACAGGAGGGGCAATAAACAGAACAAATGCCAGCAAGTGAAGTAAAATTGGGGAGGGGGTGTTGAAAACAACCTACCCGGAGTGTGGACAAAGTAAGCCAGATAAAGGTCCAGTTCTTTGATTGTGACTCCAATGTGATGTGGCTGGACGCACAGGCCGGGGTTCGAGCACTGGGGCGACTTGTAGAGCCGCTCCCCATCAGTACTTTCCAAAGGGATCCCCTTAAACAAAATCACCATGACCAGGTCCAGCCGCCACACCTTGTCAGCCTGGCGCAGGCAGTCAATCCGCCGGATCTTGCCCTTCTGGTCGGGGTTGGAGAGCACGCAGCAGGGGGGCTTCTTGCCGGTGATGGTCAGCACAAAGTCCTCTCGGAACTCAGGCCGGATGTCTTTGCGCAGCTTGGCCAACAGCCGGGATGCCCACTTCTGCTTGATCTCAGGCTTCTCGCCCAGCAGCTCGTCCTTCACTGCGCGCTCCTCGTCCTTTGACATCCGCTTCTCGTGCTTCTTGAAGTACTTGCGCTTCCGCGCCTGCAGGTTGAACCAGGTGTAGGAGAAGGCTCGGACGTGAGGCAGCAGCGCCTCGATGAACGGGTGGAACTCATCCTGCAGGCGGCAAGCCGGGAGCATGCGGGGCGAGGGAGGACGGGAGGAGGGGAAGACGGGATGAGGGGGAAAGAGAGAAGGAGAAACGCAGCGTTAGAAGGGGGCACTAGGAAAACCGCCTTCTCCTCCTTCTCCCTCCCCCCAGCAATTTTCTCTTGAGATTGTTCTACTGAAGTGTGGTTTGAAGCCACCACCAGCTTCGCCAGCCACTTGCTCCCATCTCAGCCTCAGCAACCAAACAGAGGCACGGGGAGCCTGTCCACACACCTATTCTCTCTCTCTCTCTCTCTCTCTCTCTCTCTCTCTCTCTCTCTCTCTCTCTCACACACACACACACACACACACACACACACACACGTGCACACAAACAATGTTGCTACACACACCACAGGCTTGCTGCCTCCCCCACCCCCCAGGTTCTGTCGCACCCATGACATCTCCATGTTCTATGGCAGCTGTGAACTAGGGTCAGCTGGTCCCAGCAGTGTCCGGCTGCCTGAGGGTGCAGCCGAAAGGACAAGCAAGAGCTGCCTCGCTGCCTTCTGTCCTCCTGTCCGGACTGGCCAATGTTTGGCTGCCCCCTGAGAAGACAGAAAGTGCCATCTGAGATGGAGGAAGCAGCTTTGGGTCCCCTCTCACCAGGCTGTTTGAATTTTCTTTTCTCCAGATCCAGTTGGAACATCCATCCCAGCATTTTTTTAAAATCAGATCTAAATCCTAAATATGTGGTTTCAGCTTTGTTATCGGCACCAATACTAATGTTAATCACAGTAATAATGAACAAAACACTTCTTGTTAACCCAAATAAGGTGGTATTCTCAGCCACATTAGGGTTAAAAGCTACGTGGGTCGTCTTTCGGCCCCTTCCCCAATCTCCCACAACCCCTTCACCCTCAATCAGGTGACAGAGGGCTGGGCTCTCTCAGTTATTTTTCCTTTTGTTTTGGTTTGGTTTTTGGTTTTTGCTTGTTTGCTTGTTTGAAGTTTAAATAATAATTGATTTCTTTTTACAAAAATAAAGCTGGAAAAAATCAAATAATTACCATTGATCTGAAGCACCCGGCAAAGCCAACGCCTGATTCTGAGATTCTGGACTCAACAGAGTTATGAGTTAGGGGTGGTTGGACGAGGGGAGGAGGAGGAGCAGGGGAGGAAGGTAAATGTTTTAAAGGGGGTTATTATTGGTGTTCTGGGGAATAGGGGCCGGGCTTGGGTGGATTCTCAAACCCTTCCCCCTCCATCCCCCACGCTCCATTGCACAGAGAGGGAAATTAATTTTTTTTAAGGAGTAAAAAGAAAGAAAGGTCAGGGATGGCGAGCAGAGAGGGATCGAGGTGGCTTCTTACACACACCAGGTAAACAAAAGCCAACAAATTGTTTCAATTTCTCCCTCTGTGCATCCTCTTGCAGTTTAAAATAAAAGAGCAAAAAATATGCAAAATTAAAGATCAAAGCCAACCTCCTACCACCACAACCCACGTTCACCCACAACAACGGTACCTTACCCCACCCCCCACTCCCGAAAAACAAAAACAAAAACCAGGAGGGAAAAAGCAGCAGCTGAAGAAAAGGCTTTCGGCTTTGGCAGCGGCACAAGGGTGTAAACTTCGAGCTGCTCCCTCCACCCGACCAGAGGAAGAGGGGGAGCTCGCAGATTCTCGGGGAAGAGGACGAGTTCTGACCGGCTGCAGACCGTTGCTGGCAGACGCAGCAAAAGGGAGAGAGGGAGCCAGGGAGGGAGGGAAGGAAGAGGGGGAGGGAGAGAGCGAGGATCTCAGGAAGACAGGGATGGGATGGGGTGTGCGATGGTGCGCATGTGAATGTGCGCGCGCTGGAGAGGGTGTGTGTGTGCACCAGCACCGCTAGGGTGTGTGTGTGGGGGGGGTTGTGGCTCCTTTTTTCTCTCAAACTCCCCCTCCCCGTTCATGCTCAATCCCCATCCATTTGCGTGTGCCAAATCAGTAAAAGAGGGGGAGGGAGACAGCCAGAGGAAAGGAGAGAAAGAGAGAGCATGAGCGAGCGAGCGAGGGAGAGAGAGAGAGCGAGCGAGAGAGAGAGAGAGAGAGAGAGAGAGAGAGAGAGAGAGAGAGAGAGAGAGAGAGAGAGAGGGGATCCACCTATTTGGCAAAGAGGCATCCTCACACAGCCAATGACTGAGTCCAAGGGGAGGAGGGAGCTGGGCTAGCTGAGAGGGTGGGGAGAGCCCCCCGGCAGTTGGAGACTAAAAACAATTTGCCCAATCGACAAGTTCACGACTAATGAACAAGCAAAAGCAAAGTCCAGCAGTTATGAATTTTTCATCCCAGGCGCCCACTTGGGTCTGTTTGGCAGCAGCCACCTAGCAAACTTGGGGGTGGGAACATTAGGATTGAGGAAGACTCGGACTTTTTTTTTTTTTTAAGCCAGAAAATAAATAAATAAAGGCCTGACTCCTGGCGGGCTGGCGGCTGGGCGGGAGCCCCAGAAGGCCTTGGGGAAGCAGCTGCGCCTTCTCTCTGCTCTGCTTTCGGTCTTTCTCTCAGGCCAGCACACTCTCTGGTTCTAGATTTTTTTTTTTTTTTTTAATGGAGCACAGCGGGTCGAATGGACATTTCCCCCCCACCCTGTGCACCAGCCTACAGAACTATGAATAGGAGAAAGAGCTCGGAAAGTATCCATGCCAGCAGCACAGCACAGTCAGGGCCCAGAATGCTGGCTGGGTATAGCCACCTCTTGGTCCCTCAGATGGGCCTCCTGAAGGACTCAGGATCTTTCCCAAACACAGGGACTGTACCCTGCACCTCCTTGCCTTCTCCTCAGCCCCCAGGAAGCTTACAGCCTCCCTCGGCCCACCCCCCCAGCCACGCACACTCCATTAGTGGTGACGAGAGATGCCAACGCAATGCAGCTCGGCTCGTGAAACTGCAAGTTTATTAAAATAGCCTCCTGTCACAGCACTCCTCTGGCAAGCACCACACGCAGCTACAAACACAACAGCCAGCCCCTGGGAAAAGTGACAGAGGCTCAAAGACTGGCACTACTTCCCCTCACCACCACCCCCCACTCGGTGCGGTGCCTCCCCTCCTCCAGATCTGCCCTGGCTACTCACCCTGTGTTAGCTTTCTTACCTGTCCCTCAAATCAGACTAAAATGCAAGGTGTAAAAGCATAAACCGAGAAGCCTGGATGGAGAGAAGATGTGAGAAAAAATATGACAAAACAGAAGGCAAAAAGGGCCTTCAGGAACCAGAGATATGGGAGGTGATAGAGAGAAGTCCTTTTTCCAGGTCCCTAGCTAGGCACATCCTCAGGAGAACCCCACCTCCAGAAGGACTCTCCAGAAAGGGCTCAGAACAGCTGCCTCAGGCCTCCAGGAAAGCAGTAGGAATACAGGAAAGGAGAGGAAGAGCAGAGGAAGGACATCAACAGACTTTGCTGAGTGACCAATGCTCACAGTCCCCACTAACGCCCTCTCTGCAGGCTCAACCCTAAGTTGGCAAAGGAAAAAAGGTCACTGTTCACTCATGCCCCTTTCCTCACCAGCTGAAACCCTGTGCTCTGTGGCCTTTCGGTTCAATGTTGCAAAGCAACTCCTGGAAGAGCTCCTAGAGTGTGCCAAAACAAATCCATCCCAATGACCCACCCCCTAACAATGGGAGGTACCATCCAGCACCTGGGACCCCACATCCTAAATGGGCAACTCCAGTGGAGTGAGCTCACAGCTGACCCAGGAGACACAGTTAGAGACAGCAGTGCAGGAGGCAGGTGCCATCACAGACAGGCCTCTTAGGGTGGTGTTCAATAATTTACATCCTGCGAATAACAGGCTTTGGTCCAACCAGTCAAGGATGCTAGCTTAGTGCCTAGTGACATAAGGTACCGAATGAACATTGCCTTCTCCATCTTGAGGAGGAAATTTCACTTTCTAAAGTCATGAGGTCATAAAAGCTGCAAGTGAGGGTTGTGGGGATGTTGCTATTCTGATTATGTTTTAAATATTAAAAAGAAAATGACCAATATTGCTCCATGACAAATCCTGGCTTGTTCCTTTTCATGACTACAGTGTGGTCAAACAGCCCAGTTGAAGATCTAGCTTGGGAATCCACAGTTCCATGGCTAGGAGAAAATCCACAGAAGTTGGGGAAAGTGTGAGAGTCAGTCCCTGAGGAAGTAAGAAAGAAAAGGGTCAAAGGTCCCTGGGACGATAAACTGATCAGTGAAGTAGCAGGACCCACGGAGTGTGACAGGAAGCTCCGGAGACTGGCAGAGCAGCAGCAGGCCCTTCCTCGTGAATCCAGAATGGAGAACAATTGTCAACTGTCCTTCTCTTAGCTGGGGGCTATAACCTTGAAGGTAAGCAGAAGGTCCTTGGGCAGTGTCTCCAGAGTGCCTTGATATTGCCAGCAGAATCTTCTGGCTTCCTGTAAGCTGGCCATCCTTGTAAAGAAAACAGCTCTTTTCCTGTGTGTGTGTGTGTGTGTGTGTGTGTGTGTGTGTGTGTACCTAGACCCTCCCAAACAAAAAAGGTTAGGAGACAGTCTAGGCACCCTTTGGAAGATTACCTGTCCCTGTCCTAGCTCCTTTCTTTCCTGTCCTATCCTCCTTCTGGAGGTCACACTCCTGCACCCTGATACCCTGATATACCCAGACCCAAGCCAAGACTGGAAAACAGTTGATGATTCAAGATGCTTCCATGTCTGAATTCAAACAGCAATAATGGTTCAGTGGTTGGAAAAGAGCAAACACAGGAACCTACAGATTGCTGAGGAAGAGAAGAAGAGAGAAAGAAGATAAAAGGAAAATTCAACCAAAGGAACAGGAACCCAGGGATGCTTCGAGTAACAAGGGAATGGAAAGGCAACAGAAAGGACAGAGAAGATGGAGTATGAAAAGTGCTTTCTCCATTTCTCCATTTGCAAGAAAAGTCATGGAAATTTGTTTTTGGAAGAGAAAATTTTAATTTCATGAAAGAAAGGCCTCTCTTATTTTTGAGAAGATAGTTTCTGCTGAACTGCCACTTAAATAGACTCTGATGCCTGGTCAGCCACCACAGAGATGGATGTGTCCCCACGCCACAAAGATTAAGCAGGCCACAGAAACAGAAATGTGGAGGGAGGAAAAGAAAGGCAGAAGGCAAACCAAACTGCTCAAAGCTGCAAAAAAGACAAAGATGAAGAGAAAGAGAGCAGGAGAGGACAAATAAGCAAGAAAATAGAGACAGGCTCCAAGACAAGAGGGAGAAAAGAAAAGAAAACTAGCTAAGAAAAATGGTGGCTCCCAATGGTGAGAAGCCTGTACCTTTCGGAGCAGGTCCTGTGAACCATGAACCGAGGCCTTGTGGATTATTTTAGGAAAAATAGGGAACACACCCAGTTCTTCACTTACATGTGCAATATTAAAAATTCTTCTAGGAAACAAAATAATTTCATAAAACTGATACGCCTCCCGATAGTGAGACAGTTAATAAGCACAAGAGTCCTTGTTTTAAGCAGCCATTGGTAGGTCTCTTTATCTTTAAAAACAAAATTGTATTTGTCCCCAAGCAGCTGGCTTCTGGACCTAGATATACTCTTTCAGATCCTGGGCACAGTGGCCCATACTGCTTTGGATAAGCACCTACAGTTGAAGCACATGGCCCTGCTCTAAGTAGAAAGCACCAGATACTCCAGGGTCCATTTTACTAGCCTATATCTGCAGGATAGTTAAGGAAAGACACAGGAAAGTATAAAGGCTGCAGATAGAGCCCCGGTGAGTTTGCCTAATTCCCGGCATTTATAATTCTGCCAGGGTCTGGACTAAAAGACAGCTTCATACATAAACACACACACACACACACACACACACACACACACCTCCCATCTTGTCAGACCTGTGCTTCTTCCTCAGAAGGCTAGGGGAGGCCATGGGTGGACACTGTGGATAGGACTCTGGCCAGCAAAGAGGCCTGGCTGCTTGTGCTAGGAGTGGGTGGGGCCTCCCTCTCTGGGGGAGGTAAGGAGAGGCTCTGTCACTGCTCCTGTGAAACTATCCAAGAGTCTGGAAATGCTAGGAATGGAAACCGGAAAATACACTTTCCGAGGAGGTTCCCGATAATTTGGACAAAGCGGGTTTTGGCTGAGTTGGGCCTCTGTTCAGGAACAGCAGCCATTGGGCTAGTGTGAAAAATGTCCTTGGGCTAGACATTGGATTTGCCCATACCACAGCTGGGTCTCTCTTGGGGTCTGTCTTAGAACCAGGCCACATAATACTCCTGTAAAATGCCCCTGGGCACCCCCCCCCACCCACACACACACTGCCTTTTCTCCTCCTTTCTACAAATCCCGGGCTGTGGCCTGGGACTGGGCCAAGAAGCAGCCTCGTTCCAGGCTGGAACGCTCGCTCCCCTGCTCCAGGCACATCTCCCCTCACCCTCTTGGCACAGAACAAGCTAGGGTAGGGACGGGGTGTTAGAGGAGACATCTATTCTCTCCAGTGCCTCTGGAAACTGTTTACTTTCATCTTG